GTGCTCGTATCTGACACGTCACACGACACATGCCACATCACGTCTACTTCGCCACGCACGCCACACATGCTACACGTGCCAGTTGATTGCCAGTCCACTTATTGAATGCAACTGACCAAATGTCTTGGCTGAATGTGAACTGCTCATTACTTCTACCTTATATTCCGAAGTTTAAATGGATGGATGTTTTTTCGAAGATATCTCCAAAACAGCTTAACAATGGGATCTCTATAGTTAAAAACTTATCAAGTCGAAATATTTATAACTTGAACATTTAAGAACCTATTTGTACTTAATGTCTCTATTTAACATTAAATATATTGAGCTTATACTGTACACAAATTTTAAAGGGATGGTGTCATTAAATCAAATTGATTTTGCAACAAGTTCTTAATTTTCTTTCTTAGCATTTGAAGCATTCATGAGTGAAGCACTTAATTTTACAATGTTAGTACTTTTTTAACTTACTTGGCATATTCCATCTGAGCTTCAAGCTTCTCTTCTTCAGCTGCCAATTCTTTTTTGAGTGCTTCCTCTTTCTGTCTGTGAAGTTCATGCAATTGCTTCCATCTTGTTCCATATTCATGTTCAAAGCTGTTCAATTCAGAGAAACGGGGTCCCATCTTGAACAATAAAATAAATATTAAAATGACACTAATTATGAAAAGAATAATGTTACAGGACAAGTAGTTTCATTTACCTCCCGAGCACGAAGGAATTCTGGATGTTTCTTGGGTAGATTCTTTTCTGGGTAGCCATCAAACTCATCTGGTTCTTCATAGCTTTCAACAATTACTGGGCGCAAGGACCTGTTGACAAATTCACAGTATATTACCTACTTTGAACCTAATATTGCTTAAATTTTAAATATATGTATTGTATTGTTATTGTATGTACAACTTACGATGTTAAAAAGAAGCACTTCTCAGTACAATTCCTGATTGCAGACAGAGCACTTGGTTTGCGGGCAAACTCCACGACACCCTCTCCTAAAGTTTTCCCTCTTTCATCAACTCTAACATAAGCTCTTTCGATTTTTCCGAATATTTCAAAGGCTCTAAAGAGAAGTTCATTTGATACAAATGGAGGCAAATTTTTAACTCTGACTGCACAATTGTGTGGAGCAAATCTCACTCTTAGAGAACGACCATTCCTCATTTTACCATCAAGCTCCCTTTTTGCCTTTTCTGCATTGACCCTGTAGTCCTACAATAATAATAATAATAATAAACATATAATTTCTATGAAAATAACATTGGACACCAATCCTATGTTCAAATTTTAACGAGACTTACCATTTTGATAAATCCAAAGTTCTTTTCCTTGTTAAGAAACAATTCTGCAGCTTCACCAAACTGCCCAAACAAATTCATAATCTCCTCTTCGGTAACATCAGATGTTAAATTACCAATGTAAAGTCTGCTTCTACCATTGAATTTTAGTTCTGTTTGGTCAATTTGAGGCAAATCTATCATGGGTCCAACAAGCTCTTTGAGTTTGTTTAACAAGAAATGGTCCTGTAAAATATAAACCAGTGTTAAATACTATTACAATAAGTGTTATCTAACCATATCAAAACTTGAAGTTACTTTGTTACTATATTTGTTTAATATCTTAGAGGTTGGAGATGTTCAGTCTAGTATGATTTTCTATTGTAAATAAATGACCTCTACACCATACCTCACGCTGCACTGTCTTCCCATCCTGCTGGCCTCTCATGCTATGGCGCTGGTTGCGTACCGGGCCACCACCAATGCCACCTTGCTGCTTGAGACCAAACTGCTTTTGGTTTTGGTGTTGGTTCTGATTCTGATTCTGTCTATTGCCTGGACCTCCTTGACTCCATGTTCCACCCGATTTATTTCCCCCGCCAAAGTTTCCATTGATGTTCTAAAAAATTGTGAGTGTTAAAATCTACATCATTTAGTAAAAAAATAATCCAAATAAAGTGTTCTGTTGATTGGTTACTTAAGCAGACCGATTGTCTCCAATTCTTATACTAAATCTATGCTTGTCACATATAAGTGTATCAGTAACTTTAAACTACTAACAGCAACAAAACTTACAACCAAAATGGATATGAAATTAACACTAATACTGCATTTTCTTAAATTAATGATATGATAAACATGGGTTAACTGTAAAACAAACCTTTTGGAATTGGTTCTGGTTAGGACTAGGTCCTTGTGTGTTTTTTTCACTCCCAATAGATTTGTCAACATCATCCTGAGATTTGGACTGATTTAATTTTTGCTGCTGCTGCTGCTGTTGTTGTTGTTGTTGCTGTTGAGGCTGTTGTGGAGATTGTTGAGGTTGTTGTTGATTCT